CACAGACTGAATCCTGTAGTCAAATACCAGTTTTACCCTGAAATGGTAATGCTAGTGATGATGCTACTGACAAATTTTAGCATCTAACATAATTTTACAGAAAACCAAAAATCTAAGGTTCTTGTAAGAGCTTCTGTTTTATTTTAAGGATGCTGATTGCAAACTTACAGTCACACACAAATGTTTACTGTAGTTATGTGTCATACTGCACAGGAACTCCGATAAAGGGGTAGAGATAGCCTACCTGGGTACAAGAACGGGCCTGTCCAGAATTAACCTGTTTGTGGTGCCTGATGAACTTACAAATCAGTAAGTATGCTAAGGGTATTCAGTCTGTATGATTCAAGAGTTTCTTTATTATCTCCAAAGGGCAATTTGTTGTACAGAGAGTTAACTGCATGACCACATAACTATCAGACAACAATAAGAAAACAATAAACTATAAGTACAATACAAAGATCACATCGATTTATTTAAGAGGCCAATGGCAGCAGTAACAAATGAATGTACAAGGATATATGCTTAGGAGTGTATGAGTTGATTGTCTCTTTGTTTATGATTACATTAAGTACAACGTTTTGTGTGTGCATCCTCTGTATCATCGTCACCTCTGTTTTCTGTCTGCTTCAAGAGACTTCCTGACAGCTGAGGACAAAGAGGGGGTGTTTAACGCCGATCACTTTCCCCTGTGGTACAAGAGAGCAGCTGAACAAGTTCCTGGTACCTTTGTCTACTCTCTACCTTTCAACACAGGTTAGTTGTAAATCTCAATTTTCAAAAGGGTAATAAAGTCAGTTATTACTTTAAAAATATTTTAGTTCTACACAGTAGCCATTACTAGTGTAATATAATGAAACAGACCACTAATTGTATAGACGTTTACTAAACTGAAGATAAAATACATTATAAGATCATTCAAAAGAAGCTTACATTTAACTAAATTCACAAATAAAATGTATGCTCACTTGTATTAGAAAGATATAGAAAGACCTTCTTTTTTTTATTTCCTCCATCTCCTCGTTTCCTCTTTCACCCATATTTGGTCGTTTTCTCTTGCCATGCATCTCTACCTCCCCTTCCTCTCTTATTAATTCTGGGCTGTGTTCTTGTGGACAGGACTGATTGCTGTGGGTTGAAATAAGATATGGTAGGAAGAGGTTCAGCCCTTTCCATAGTGACTTGGCCAGAACACACACACAGAATCACACACACACACACACACACTTGCACTTCACGCATATGCAGTTTAACTATGTCTCTAAGAAATGGTTTCTCCTCCAAAGGGAGAATGTGTTCTCATCTGTCCTCAGCCTCAGGCTTTCCATTAGTGCCAGCTAATACAAGTGATCTGAAAGCCTCTTATTTACTCGCCGGACTTGCCTTGGATGCACTCTTCCTCTCAGGACTGTGGCAGTTAGCTGTAGCCATGAAATAGTACTCTGTGGTATTTATGTTCAGTATTTCTCTCTCCAATCACCCTGTGGTCAGTTCAGAACTAATATAAGGAATTATGATATGCCTCTAATGTGAACTCTGTATGCGTGTGCCTGTGTGTGTTGTGTACGTGTGTGCTTTTTATGTGTGTGGCTTAGGATCAGAAAACAAGAGTGTTGTATTGGCCAGCACTGCCATTCAGCTTCTGGATGAGAGGAAATCGCCAATAGCTGCGGGTAAGTGGGGACTCAAGTGGCTCTTTCTTTCTCACACACTTCTACATTGACATAGGCTGCAATATTCCCTTCCTTACAATGCTGTGTAGACCTTGTTTTCCTGGTCTACAGTTCTCTCCCCCTACTCCTTTTCCTCTTTTTTGAGTTGAAACACTTACTGCCTACATATACTGACTGTGCTGCTATTTTTTATCCATGTGTTTGCCCCTGCATGAATATATGCTCAAAAGAAGGCGAGAGTGCAACATGGCGCCGTTTGGATCCAAGAGTATTTATGCCTAAATATATTAATAGAAGCCAATTTCATAAACGCCTTTTGTGCCTTCCTTTTTTACATTTTTTTATTTTTTTATTTTGTGCTGTGCTTATTTAGGCATATTGTGGCCTAGAGGATTTCATTGTGGCCAGCCTCATCTCACGTCCTGGTGACTCAGAAGCCCCACAATGTCACGCCCTTATAATGCAACTTGGTGCAATCAGCAAGTTGATGGTATGAATTGCCAGCCTTGTTCTGTTTGCCATCAGCTTGGTTCCGGACCAAAGGAACTGTAGATTAAATGGAAGAAATGGGTAAAAAGCGGCAACATAGAGTTATGGTTTGACAGTAGTTGTGGTTTTGTCTTTTGTGATATAACATCCTTCCTTACCCATCTCTCCCCAAAGGAAGTTTTGTGTATCTTGGAACTAATGCAATATTTTAACAGTTGTACTCTGCAGTACATGAAGATGAAAAAGAAAAGAAGAGAATAGAAAAAAATACATAATATATTTTTGTTTTCAAGTGATTCACATAAAAAAATTTGTAAACACCTTGTTTGCAAAAATCTGAATATTTATTACAGCTTCGGACACATTGAGCAAATTACAAAGATACAAAGTTGTTAAAATGTACATATACATAGGTAGGCAATGTGTTTCTGGCTCAGTTTTCTTCCTCTTTGCAGTAAGGTGCCTCCAACTTTCTTTATGTTTATACTTTGTATTGAAAGTCCTCTTTTTATATTGATAGCTTTAGTAATAGCACAGTACAAATGTCTTGAATGAGCAAATTATTCTATTCAAATACAGTATTGTAATCCTTTCCACCGCCCAACACATGTGGCAAGAAACTATGTGGAGCAGAGCTTTTGCCTCATATTAAAAACGTCTTCTGATGATTATCTATGTAAGTTCTCCTGTCAACAGATGAGAGCCATTAATGCCAGTAGAGGAATCACAGAAAAAGATCTGGACAGAGGGAAGAAGAAAAAAACTGAACAAAGGAGAAGGAGGAAAACCTTTTGGAAATGCAGTGATACAATAAGAGAAGAAATAAAAGGGCAGAGAAAGAGAAAATTATTTCACGGTGCCTGAATGCGTTGACATGAAAGCAGTGCATTGTGGGTACTCTTGGCCTGGGGGAAACCACTGGAGCAGAAGGACAGAGATGATGGGAGAGTCTGTGCGATGCCACAGCACACATGCACACAGAGTATGCATCAGATTTCTAGCAGAGCGGTACACAAGCAGCCCACAGTTTACATCAGCCCACAGTATTATTTGAACCTGTTGACTTGATCACAATTGTTTTAAGGATAGTATAATTCTCTCAAATGCTATTTAGCAGCAGTCCAAATGACTAATCGTTAACAAGGTTTCATGAATACCCTAATGTTACATTGGATGCTGATGTACAATAATGATTGTACATCAGTACAGTACTTGTATAATCAGGCTTATCAGATCGGGGGATGTCTGTAAGGATGAGTTTATATAAGAGAGTCAGATGGGAAGATAGATGTAGGCTAGAATGCAAATTTAGCGTGGGCCGGTTAGGGCCAGTTTTCACTGCCCCGCGCTCCACTGAGCTGTAGACTTGCAAATACACTAATACACTAACTTAACAGGACAGGCTGATGACATCACACACCACGGGCCCTGGAGACATCGCTTGAGTCACAATGTTACCGTGTGCGTACATAGACACGCGTGCGTGCCAGCGTGTTTGTATGTGCCAGTGTTTGTGGTCACATCCTGAGCCACGTGCAGTGAGTCTGTGAGTAATATACAGAGCGATAAAACTCAGGTCAGGCGTTAATACCAAAGGCATCTGTGTACGTTCATGTGACTCCACATTACACTGAGTAAGCTAAATCACCGCTAATGGCAAACTATCAATGTATAGATAATAATAATGAAAGCTTGTAATGTACACAGCAAGCTAAATTTTTAGTATAGTTTACAGATGACTTGATATTTCATTATACTATACTATAGAATTCCCTTGTGGCAGTACCAGTCAACTCCATCAGACAGAAAAAGAATATCCCTAAGGATATTGCCCAATATATCCTTAGATTTTGAAAGTATCCAACCGAAAAAAATCCCACTCCCTCCTTCCAGGGCTCCCTCCAAAGCCCCTCCCCCAACACACATTAACATTCTTAATGTATCCAACTACACTTCATGTCTCATTAACACATATTTCTACATACTACATAGTTCAGGAAATAACAATTACCCACCTGAACAAAACAAACCAGATGATTACCTGTCCTGCAGCTCTTGCTGTCGTTGAAAGGCCAAGCGTTGCTTTATCCAAACTTTTTGTTCGTAGCGTTTTCTACTTCTGTGTCTCTTTTCTTGTTATGTTTGGCAGTGCAAACTGTTGTAGGTATAGGTAGAACTATACATTTTGGCGATTTTCTCTCTACCATTCTTGTGCGACTAGCTTGGTAGCCAGCTGATCATTTCACGATTGGCTAGGTTTATTACAGGCCTGTGACTGCTACAGATACTATATAGTTTTCAGATTTTTTCAGAGCCTTTGATTTATTGATTTCTGTTGGGTGTAAAGAGAATTTCAAAAAAAGATGCTTCTGAAGTATATTACCTTCCCTAGTTTTAAGGAATAATCCACAGTATTTTCATAGAGATATGTGTGTGTTTACCATTTTCTCTTGTCACGTGATTTGACATAATAATTGTTTTATAGAAACTTCATTAACCGAAAAACCAGCAACACATTAAACTGAGAGCAGCAAAATCACCCATGCAATGTCTATTAATTTTAAGATCCCCATTGTAACACCTTAAATGAAGGGTATTTTCCTTCCTTTTTTTAGAAATTGGTATTTTTTTTTACCAAGGGTTGGATTTCCAAACTTGAGTATTGTTTACTGTAAATTATACTATTTCCTTATATAAACAACAAACAAAGTGACACTTAAACAGCAGAATTCACTCTAAAGTGGACATCTCTTTTTCCAAAATAACCCTTAAAGATACTTTCTCCATTTAAGTAAAGCATGCCTTCTCAAATTAGTTGCCAGTATACATACAGCAAACAGGTAAAATGTTAAATGTTTCCCTTTATTTTATATAATACATACTACTGAAGGACATGACTACCACCGTGTGATCAGCATTAACGTACAAACAAGACTCAACTGATGTCAAAAACTGTAGATCTAAAAGTTTGTGGGTGTGACTTTGTGCAGCAGGATGATAAAAAGTCATAGAAAAACAACAAGGCTGAGTCCAGGTTTTGTTGTTTTCGTTTTAGTTTGTTTCATTATTGCTTCAACGAATTTCCCATCTTCACTTCAGTCGTCAGAAAAATATCCTTTAAGAAAACATATTTCTTGCTCAAAACTATATATCACGTTATTAGGCACAAACTCTTAAAATCTCTATAAATATGTGCATATAGTATACATCTCCACACACATACACACACTCAAGCACACATGAAACACAAAACATACACAAACATCCGTTCTTGTTCTCTTACTCTCACGTCAATGATACAAACAACTTAGAACAGACAGCAGCTGCCTACTATGAGTTTTCAAAATTACCTCAAAATTATAAACAACTACCAAAAGACAACAAAACTCTAAAATATTTGTTTTTAAATACCAGCGCTTTACCATTATACCTACAAATACACAATTATAAATATATAGCAATTTGTTCATATCTGTGATATGCATTTCTCAGACAAAATGGAATTGATTCCTTTTGGATTCTTTGGCCTACCCCTCGAACCCGCATACAGTAGAAGATACTCTTCTCATCAGTGCATAGTCAAATACCTGTGGAAATTAGCTACCCAAGTCTCAGAAAGGAGGTGAACATACACACATGCGCACACATTAATATTCTCACTCTCTTTTTTTTTTTCTCACAAACACACATGCACTCACACACACGGCATCCAGAGACGATTAGGTTAAAGGGTTGAGGCTCAGGTTTTAAGTCCAGGGTTCATGTTATCATCTCCTAGGCGATAGCATTCTCCAGTGGTTCCTTCTCATCTGCTGTTGCATGATCTGCCCCCTGCGCTGCTGCCAACTCCTCGTTCTTCTTTAGCTCCCGCTGATACTTGGCCATGATAGCAGCGTAGGCACAGCCATACACTGCTGCAGCCAGCATCATCAGACACACGATCCCACACACTACGCCGGTGATGATCACTGTGGCAATTGCGTGGCGCAAGTTGACAGGCCGGTGCCTCTGCTTAGGTTCACACTCAGGCAGGTTCCCTCCCCCACCTCCTCCTCCCCCACCACCAAAACCCTCCCCCATTGCCATGGGGACATGGAGAGCATGGCTTGAAGGATGAGCATGGTTGCCATGGGTGTGGCCTCGCAGTAACCTCTCAGATTCCAGGTGGTGTATGTTAGCAAACAGGTAATGGTAGCTTGTGGTCATGCAGGTGTGGAAGAGCTGGTAGGGGACTTTCTGCAGGTCTCTATCCCTCATTTCTTCTGGCTGAGAGCAAATCACCTCATCCACCACTCCACCTTGGGATCAGAGTTAAATAGTTAGAGTAGGGAGGGATGGCAAAAGACAGACTAACAGACAGAGGGAATAAGGAGACATGCATCAGTCAGTTGTGCACATTACATGCTGTTAATAATTTTCTTTTTTTTGGCAGCTTACTACAGAGGGGGGCACAATCATAATCATCATAGCTGAGTCTGGAATAGCGCATTGTTTGAGATATTTATTCATCTAGGGTGTAATGGCTTTCTTTGATTGGCCATAATAGCAAGTATATGATTAACAGCTCAACTACTGGAGCCGAATGAATCATCTGTTGGAGAATGTGTGGAGTTAAGACTTCATCAGCTGCCCTCTGTTTGTCCAGTAAATCATCTCTCCCACTATTCATGTCGAGTGTGCTCTGTCATACACTTCCTTTCTGCCTGCATGATTAACCACTGGCTTTCTATTAAGCACACATCCTTGTATCTGGGTCTATTGTTCTGTTTTGCAGTAATTAGAATTTTCAGCCTTTAAGACGAAAGCTGTGTCAGGATAACATAGGCATGTAGGCGGGCCAGTCAACTCCAAGTGAGCCTAGCTTTCATTGTACAGTGGTTATTTTGTTATCTAATGCACGCTGGGGTTGGTCTAGCATGGAAAATAATGTACTCTACAATTGAACTCTTAATCACCCATATACACTCTATCGCTGGCTGTCACCACAGGGACTGCTGCATAGAGTACCTAACATCTCAACATTATTCTGGAGATTCTTATTGCTGCATGGCACTTTTTTGCTTAGCTATAAGGTCAATGTCAGTGAACCAACAGTTACAATAAAGACTCTACAGTAAATTCTGTAAATTGTGACCATAACATAATCCACAGTACTCACCAGATGTTAATAACAATATAAAAACCAAAACAATCTACATTTCTCCCACAACTACAACATGAGACACACACATGCACTCATTCCACCATCTTTAATAACTGGACAGACCTTTTAGTCGGGTCTTAAATCCACTGTGTCAATCTCTCCAAGGGCAAAATACTCAAACTTTATATCCATTTGGGGATAGTCTATTTAATCCCTAAAAGAGGCTCTCCTCTCATTGTGTAATATGTGCCATAGAGCCCAGCCATATCTACTCTAGTACACTAGTAGTTTAAGGATGTGTGCTTGTGTTTTACCATAATTTAATACTATTTCAAGCTGGAAAGGCATTGAGATGGATGAATATTGGAAACATTACAGACGTTCCCCAGCTACTGCCTAGAGCTACGAGTGGTCTAACCTTTAAAGAGGTACGTCTCCAGCCAGAGTTTGAGGCCTATGAGCTGGCAGTCACACCTCCAGGGGTTGCCTCGTAGTGTGAGGCTGTCCAGGCGGGTCAGGGCCTCCAACAGGGAACGGTCCAATCGTGTTAGCTTGTTATGCGCTAGCCCCAGGTGGCTAAGGTTCCTCAAGCTGTCCCCCATGGCTCCAGGGAAACCCCACAGGCTGGAGGAAGGGACATGTCAAGGAAATACAAGAGATAAGATACAATGAGTTATGTGCTATCAAGTTTACTATGTGTATTGTTCGACAAGAGGCAAATATTCAAGTTTTGTTGCTTAACCTGTTGTGTGAGAGGTCAAGGTGTGATAGTGAGCGAATAGGCCCAAGCAACCGCTTGTCAAGCTCTCTCAGGCTGTTGTAGGCCAGGCTGAGGCGCTGTAGAGTTCTGAGACCCAGCAGAGCGGTTGGTGAAACAGATGTAATCGAGTTATTAGATAGATCGAGAATGCGAACAAGGGGTATTTCTCTAAAGGCCATTGATCCCAGCCCCCTGATACGGTTATCTTGGAGATACAGTTCCTGGGTGTCTGGATGCAGTCGTCGGGGGATGTCATATAGGCCTCGACCCCGACAATCTACTACTTTGGTGTTGCTGTTGCAGCTACACTCCTTTGGACAGGCATGTGACAAAGACAAGAGGGAGAGGAGGGCACACGCCAGTACCACTGTGGAGACAGTGGGACACAATTTTGGATTAGACATTTAAAGCATGTGTATATGCAGCTTAATAGAAGAAATAAAGAAATACAATTACATATACATTTTGGTTGAATAACATGTGAGCTCCTACTATCACATTATTGCATACATTCACACTACAGTATTCAACTGCCACTTTGGCTTGGCATAAATATATGGAATGTACATATGAATATTTTTGAAAATGAAGTCTTGAGAAAAGAATGAAGTTCACTTTGTTCTAGGACTGTTCTTTGTCTGATAAACAAGAAAGTAAACTTATTACTAATATGCCAACTCCCACCCTCCCTTAGACAGTGGCCCTTAGTGACTTCACCAAAGCTTCATAACCCTTCACCCACACTCCTCCCACACACAAATCCATACACAGCAGATATTGGGTGTCTGACTCCCTTTAAGATGACTTCACATGTCCAATTCTTGTGGAACACTACAGCAGTATTTATAGCACTGGCTGGACTAGCTCGAGGCTGGATGAAATGAATCTCAGACCCAAGCCCGGGCATGTAACAAGCTCACAAGTTGCATTCATAGATCCTGAACATATAGCTACACCATGTTTATCTTCATAGGCCCAGCAGCTAAAATGTTATTCTTAACAGTACAGCAGCCGTTATCTTAATTGGGAATGTTTAGTGTTTTCTCAAATGGGAATTATCTCATTTTGTCCTGTATCAGGCAGCATCTCCCCCTAGAATCTCTGCCTGAATTATGCCTTTGTAATGAGGCAGCTGTGAGTTCTCATATCACTGAAACTTATTTCCACACTAATATAAGGAAACATTGTGCAGCTATTAACTATTATCATCAAACAACCATTGGGGAATGTTGATTTGCATGGGACAGCACAATTTAATTGTTTAAATTCTATGGTCACACAGCACTCAACCAACTCACATAACTGCTATTTAGCATTGAGCAGTTAACCGGCAGTCTCACTTGGAAAATACTAAAGCCATTGTCCCATTGCTACCCTATTCTTTGAATAAACACTATTGTAACATAGTCTGCTAATTAGAGTGGCAGTGTCCCATTTCCAAACATGTAATCATCATTTTGTCTTTGTCTGGCTGTTGGACTTCTTGCAGTGGATTAAGATTCACAGGTTTAGAAATATCCTGTCACAGGTGCTCCAGGTCTATTCTCAGGTGTTACTTTGGTACAGTGGCAATATTTCTGTTATTATATTATGTTGCTTGCTTCAACAAAACAATCAGAACATGGCTGGGTTGAGATTTAGCACGCTGTAGCGCAAAGCCCTGTGTTAATTGCATCTTTGTTAGTGAAATGAGAGTGTGTGTGTATGTATGCAAGAATGCACTCAAACACATGTGCTTACACATGTGTGCACTTACTCATAAACAAACTCATATACATACGATGCATACATAGACACATATAAACAGCCTCAGCTCAGTGGAGCGTTGTAACAGCAGCTCTAGAATGAGGTCAACACAGGAGAATGGCTCTTTGCTCTGATGTGTCCCTACAGCCCAAAGTACACACAGAGAAGCTTGTAATGACATGTACACACAACCCACAACAAGTACCTCTTAAATCAGCTTGGTACCAATGTCTGTATCTATTTGCCACAGGAAACATTCAGAGGCAATGCTAATGTGCGGCTATAAACATAACAGTGTGAATGTAATGCTGCCATGTGTGTTGCATCCTCTCAGTTATACAACAGTTTACACAACATACTAGTCTCAGCAGCTGATAGCAGCCCACCTACCATGCACACATACAAATACACACTCACACAAGTGATGGAGCTCCTACCTCTCATATCTGCCAGTCGTCCTTGGGCCGCTTGCATTTGTTTGTCTTTTAGCTCCCCTGGATTCTACTGACTGTCATTGGTTGATGATCCATTAGCCATCAGTAAGGTTGAGATTAGCTATCCTGACTCTCATCTGTGTAGGCTGATAAAGTCAATAGGTAGGAATTAGAAAGGCTGAGATCAGCAGCAGAAACTTGTGTTGCCCTCAGGATCCCCAACACTGCCTGCACGGGCATGAAACCCCATCAGAGCGGGAAGAATAGAGCACAGTGCCTACTGCCAGCCAGCCAGTCTGGGAATCACTGTAGTTAGGGAGCTCTGCTTCTATCTCTCTCTCTCTCTCTCGCTCTCGCTCTCGCTCTCTCGCTCTGTATCTCTCTCTATTGGTCTCCCACTGTCTCTCAAACTCTCTTTCTGTCTCTTGTATTTTTCTTCATGCTGTTGTTTTGCCTTTGTTTCTACGCATTTCCCTTTCCTCTTGCTTGGTTTGATTTTAGTTCTGCTCCTCTGTTGAATCCAAATCAACACTCTGACCTCTGCGTGCGTATGTCTCTCTCTCTTTCTGTTTTGCTCGCTCGCTCTTCCTGTCCCCAGTTGTATTGGTGAGTGTGACGGTGTGACATCTCCCAGCGGACAGCTGTGCCTCTTAAATCACAGCGCGCACACATACGCTGACATTCACGTATTGCTCTGGCAAGAGTTGAGCAAGACAAAATTAGATTGCATCTACACAAATACTCAAACACTTCAACACACAGTGAACACAGTTGGAGGATGCCCGTTGCTGTGGCATGCTCTGATGATATTATGCATGAGCCGTGGGCAGAAGGGCTGGCAGAACACGCCCCCAGCACAGCAACACAGAACGCACGAATGCACACATACACATGCACACACACACACACAGCAGGATATTAAGCTGTTGCAGTTAATTTACATGATTTATTTTGCATTTAAAGGGATTGACTGTTGAGCCTATATGAGCTCATGGGTCGCTTGAAGGAGAAGCAAAAAATGGACAAAGCAGGAAGAGATTAATGATCAAATAATTTTTAACGATGAATATGATTAAGCTTACAAGCTGACCTTGGCTTGTAGGGCCTTCCCTTGTATTTACCCTCCTGTCCATCCATATTTATATCCTTTCTTCCGCTGAGGGGCATGACAATTATTTTCATTCCGTCATATACAGTGAGCAATTAATTCACATGTGAAGATGTTTTAGAAAACATAAATACTCTTGCACTTGCACCTGCGCACACACACGGACACTTTGCATCCACATTAACATGCACACTTGAGTGGTCATGTACTCCTACATAGTCAAATGCATCCTCAAATGTGTGATAACACCATTTTATTAGCTAAAAGCCCATATGGGTGATGTGTACAGACAGCATGTTGTGTTTGTGATGTTATGTTTAAAAAAATCTTAAGCATCAAGTTACAAAAAAACAGAGCGAGAAAAAAACATGTTGTCAGCACAACATGATACAAACACTTATATCATCATACTATCATGTGCATATCCTGTGATGCATTTAATGCATGTGGCATTAAGGCCTACTATTACTCTGCTATTAAGGGAAAACTACAAAGATGGTTTGCATGATTTGCATATGATCTTTTCTGTTAAATCTTACGGCTCATTCAGAGAGCTATTTGAGATTTGGCCACCACAGAGATTTAAGTTTTTTAGCTGTAAAGCAGTGAACTGTTGGATTAGTTTTAAAAATATTCATTAGTCAAGTCTCAATTTTGTTTCAACAAGAGTGCAGATGAGAGGAGAGGCCAGTGGAGACTAAGTCGTGTAGACTGCTGGCATCCTTAACAACAGCCTCCTGTTCTGCTCATCTTCTGAATGTTGCTCAGCATCTTGACATGATCCACCCCTGTATTGTGTAGCTGCTGTGGAATGCACCACTAAATTTGCAAATAACTACATCTTTCAGACAGGTCTGAGTGTTTGTGACACTTGTATGTGAGGTTGCTTGTCCTAGAGGTGTTTTTGCTGTCACTGGGTTGTGAACTGATCCATACACAATTAAAGAGAAAAACACATACACACTACACACTTGCTTGCCCTTGCTATAGAATGAACATGAGCACATACATGATGCACCCTTGCACGGATGGATTAGTAAGTTTATACAGTCCTTATTAGAATCCCAAATACCTGTAGGATTTAAACCAGTTGTCATCCCTCCCTGCCTGGAATTGTACTGATAGGAGATTGGTGATGGCGTGGATTTGGAGAGGATTTTATGTGTTTTCATCTTTGGACTCATAAACCCAGCTCAGGGCATAAATAGCCCCAAGTTCTTAAATCATACCTAGGGAAATTAAATGTTCTCTCATAGTACAGAAAATTCCAGAGCATTAGTGAGACAGATTTGGGCTTTTGCCTTTTTGTTCTGAGCCGACTTTCAGGTAGCAGCCAACATCCGTACGCTTTTAACCTCTAATACAGTTTGACAGAGCAAACTCCATGTACTGCTCATATTGGGTTTATGTTTCCATCCTTGCTTAACCGATTGCCCATCCTATACTGTTTGTAACTATATTTAAAAAATTGTTTTATCCTGTATAATGTTTTAGATGAGTTGTGTTTTCATATCTTATATCTTAAAATTATTTTGATGTTTCAGGTTTTAGGAATCGCAATTTTTGTCTGACAATTGAATTAGACTTCCTTATCTGTTTTCCTTTTCAGTCACTGTTTTCTTTGTTTTTACAGCTTTTTTTAGAGTAGATGATCCTGTGTCTTTTATTGGCTAAATGATGTAGGTTCTCCCTGATTTTATACCATGTGTGTTTCCAATGCTGTTGCCCAGCATCTTAAATTAGCCTCTCCTCCTGGGTTTTCCATGTGGGTGTAGAAATGGTGGGCTGCTGAAAGGATCTGGCAAAGCTTATGACGGGATAATCTGCACCTGTTCCTCTGGGCAAGGGCTAAAACAGGCCACAGCAGCACCCCACTGCACTTAAACAATCACACAAATGCACAGTCACACTAAAAGAAGTGCAAACCAATGGAATATTTCTCACTGATAATGTTCTCTACACATGGCAGATCACTAAATTTTAACTCCAAGTTTTCAGTATTTTATGTTTCTAAGCTACTACTATTGTATTAATACTATTAGCTATTTGTGTATGTGTGTATAGAACCAACATTAACATTGGTCCAATATAATATATATAATAGACATTAACTCAGTTTTTTTTACTAACATAACAGTAAGAAATTTAAATCTTACCCATTTAATAGCTATGAATAAATAATAAATAAGCTATTCATAAGATCTTAAACAAGTCTAAAAACATGATGTATAAATTATCCGATACATCTTCCAAAAAATACTAAATTAATACATCCATAATTTTACAACAAGACTAATTTTGGCAAAACAAATTTAATTTACAGATGTGGGGCATCCAGTTTGGAAATGAAATGGGTTCAAACATCACATTTTCAGCTACAAAAAAAAGGTTGGTCATGGCTTATAATAACATGACTTAGCTTATCAATTTCATTGTTGCAATGTGAGGCAGTTTTTCCCAATTCGCTAGCTTGTTGCATTGCTTATGTTTCTTACGTTTTTTTTTTTTGTGTGTGTGTGGTGTTTAAACTTTTAGTGCTGATTCTGCTTCTTATGTATTTCACACATCAGCCTACCTACATACCTTCATACAGCAACATATAGCCCTTAAACAATAGTTAATGTTTCATTGCAATTTTTATAATTTGCCCTGTATCTACATAATAATAGGCCTATACCAGCTTGAAATACAGGTCAGAAAATGTCTAAATTGTCCAATCAATATGTTGGCCTTATGGTAATTTAATGTCCCAACTGTTAAATCCAGCCAAATTCTGCATTCTCTTCCATTTAGTTACTACCTGCGGCTGTTCTGCATTTTCTCCTGGAAAGACTTACAGACCCCAAAAGCATGGCAAACCCCCTACTGAGAGAAAGTTAGGGTCCTCTGAGTCTTAGTGGCAGGGGGTAGAGGGAGAGGAGGGCGAGGAGGAGAGGAGGGAAGTTAAAGCCTGTGGTGAATGTGTCAATCTTTCCTCAGCCAACTCTGAAAAAGCTGACACATTTAATGTTAGCGACTGTTTGGACTGTTTTTCCACGCAAGGAATTCTGGTCAGATCTGTGCATTTAGGGACCTGCTGGGATGAGCCTTATGGAAGTGAGAGCAGCTCTGTATACCAACTCTGGAAATGCCTGTCGGGATAACAACGGGGAGGCAGACTGAGGAATTGGATGGATTTCATGTGGGCACAGAGAGAGAGGTCTGGTTTAGAATCGTGTGAAACTGCATTTTGAGTGTGGTTAGCAGCATCTGTGAACATGTGTGCAGATGGTACTAGTATTACGTACACACACAAACACTTAGCCTTGCAGAAAAATAAGCTGACACATGTATGATGCAGGGTGTAATTGCCCTTTTTTCCCCTTTTTGACCAGAAGGGGTTTGCTGCAATGGAATTGGATGTGTTCCCTCAGTTGGGGTTAATGAAAGAGGCACTGTGTGTATATTAACAATCTCTCTCTTGCCTGTAGGATGACTTCTGTTGTGATACAGATCACAATGTACTTGCACTTGCACTTGCACACACATGAACACACACGTCCCATTGCTACATCTCATTTGTTTTCCTCTTTCAGCCGTGGGCATCCAGATGAAACTGGAGTTCTTTCAGAAGAAATTCTGGACAGCCAGCAGACAGGTACGTAGACATAAACACATATCCTGCATGTTTACACGTTCATATTATGATACATATAACACACTTGTAAAACTAAAATAACATAGCATCTCCTCTAACTACATACATAATAAACACGAAGGCAAGTAAAGTAACGAAAAAAACTGCGTAAAACATTTATTTGCTTTCTCAAAGCATCCTTGGTTTTATGACATTCTGTACTTTAATAATAACTAATAAATGTCATAAGTATTTAATGACTCAAGCAACCATAAAAGTTTAAATTGTTTGGTGGATCTTTTAACACGTAAAGGTCATCAATCTGTTTCCTTCCATTTATCCATTTAAAAGTGATTTTGGAAGACAGTAAAGGTTTTCAGCTGACAAAAGGAATCTGTGTTCTCGACCAAACAGCCTAAATATTTGGTGTGACACCCCGATAGAGTATGCAGATTTTTATTTTTATTTTTCTTACAGTGTGCAGCATTAGATGGAAAATGCTCCATAAGCTGCGACGATGAGGTTGGTCAGCCTTCCTTTTCTCAATGAACCATCCATGATTCGGTCACTTTTACTTCTCACAACTGCTTTAACACTTTGTTTTCTATTCAACAGAACATTAACTGCTACCTCATTGACAACAATGGCTTTGTTCTGGTAGCAGAGGATTACACTCTGGTAAGACACACACACACAGAGCCAAATATGGCAAGATCAATAAAAAGGATTGTATAATACTCTGTTTTAAAGTTGTCATAGTTAGAGTAAACACATTTATGTTTGTAATGAACATGTGGAAGTCCAAGGCGCATATCTGCCTCATTTGTTTTCCTATTATATAATATTTTTCCTGAATTTCATGGATGTTGTTGTTTAGACTGCTCTCAAGGAGACATGGTGCTGCCCTAG